AGAGGCAGGCCAGTGGATTCGTGGCACAGTGGAAACGCATACATGCAGAGCATTTTCTGCATAAAAAATAAAAGAATGATAAAATTATTCCACTACAATAAGAGATTAATTTCAGAGATATCACACATCAAGGAACAACATAATTAACTCTTGTAGACTTCCTTTAGTCTTATAGATGTTTACTTAATAAAATGAGAGTAATTTATTATTAATGATAAAAACATTTTTCATCAGTTCCTCGCCTTTCTTAAAGTTATCTAACTAAAACTATCTTAAACTTTTCTCAAAATATGTGTCAGACTAATGTCTATATTCATAGTCAGGCCTTATATATTTAAGGCTTACTTAAATTTATCTTTAGATGCTCTATGAATTATTTCATTGGCTACTGAGCATCTAAAGACAAATTTAAGGAAGTCTTAAGTACAAGGTCTGACTATGAATATGGACATAAGTTTTTTTAAAAGTAATTTTACAAATATTTGATAAGTAGGTAGTTATTTGGTTTAGGCTTCCTCAACTCCGATATTGATAAAATTATATTGTTTTTAAAACTTTGGGTCATCACACCTCTGCTGCTGAACGACATGGCTCCAGAAGAGTTCCTATCAGCTCTTCCCAGAGGTTCGCTGTGATCTTCTCGTTAAGCCATCCTCCAGGATTATCATTGGAGTCGTTAAACCACACCTTTCCAATTCCACTAAGATATTTCTTGCATATCTTGCCGCTGTATGGAGCGCAGTAACCTTGCGACTCCGGTTCTGATAGAAGACAGAGGAAAATTAAGGAATATCAAATAAGTTTACAAACACTTACATTTGTTACATTGATTATAAACAACTATTAGAGCAACGTGGGCATACGTACTTGCTTGTAGGGAACCGAAATGTAGGAATATCGCCAGTGAATAAATGATGACCCAAAACACCATTATTTACAGTCATCTATATATACATACATATATATACACATATATTTATTTATATATATATGTATATGCAGATATCTTTTTCTCCGTGTATATATGCGTGACGTCGCAATGGGAATCCAGAAGCTCACATGTTTGATAAAAGAAACGACGTTGATACACGGTCCCCTCTTAGGTTCGCTTAACGGTTAACATCGAGCCATCCTGATCGATCAATGGAACTCTCGAATACGGCGACGGCCGTCTTCCTCGGGCAACGATTATGCCATTCCGAGCAACGTGAACAATCGCGCATACGAAACTCGATAATACTTCAGTATTGATACCTCGAATCTCGACGGCGCCGATCAGCGAGTCAGATCATGGCGGTAAACTCCCGATCTGTTCGGTAGAGGTTACGACGGAGCTACCACCTATCGCGCTTAGGAATATACAGGGTGTCTAGAATTATCCGTACAGCTTTCGGTAATCACTTGGATTCTGGAAGATCCTCCTCAGCTTCAATATATTTCTTTATGTGTTGTACAAATAACGCTGAAAACTTCACTTTCGTACATTTATTTAGTTTGCCATAAAAAATTTCGAACAATCTGATCTTCCGCGAAAAAATGTTACATATCGACATATTTTGTATATAATTACACTATATATAATTGTGTATAAAATATGTCAATTTTTTATAATTATATATTATTTTATATAATTTTATATTATTATATATAATTACGTATATGAAATATTTTTTCCGGGCTTCCAGTTTTGTTAACCCCTTTGAAACCTGATTTTATTGGACCATGTTAAAAAAAAAGCAGGATTTGAAAACCTCAAAGGTTTAACGACTTGTGCAGTCAACAATTTACTGCTTTAATTTCTTAAAACCATTGAAATGATTAGTCAGAGAGTTCTCTCTGGATTAGTTATTTACATCTTTTCAGGGGTAACAAACACCCTGATTTCAGATACCCTGTATATAGGTCTGTTCGCATTGCTTGAAATTTTCTCGCAATTCTGGGAAGAACAGACCGCTCTTATGAGAAATTCGAAAAAAGAAGCTGATAAACAGAAAACAGATTGAGCACGATTCACGTGGTTCATGCCGGGAAAAATTAATAATTTTACGATATGGATGACGTAAATTCTACGGAGAATAACGCGGTTACGATCGCGGATAAATTATCCGAGCCACCGACGAATATGAGCAAGCGTCAATTGAAAAGATTGCTGAGGGAGAAGAAGTGGTTGGAACGAAAAAACGAGAAGAGGTTAGGAACTCCTGATGTCACGCGGCAGCAACGTACGAAAATCTGTAAATTGCGATGATCCCATCGCGTCATTTTACCCCAAGGCGCCTAGAATAAATCTCCTTATTTATCAAATCTGTAGAGTAAAATAGTACAATTTCAAAAACGGTTCAATTCTGAACAACATAAAATTTGTATCCAATTGTCAAAGTTAAATTTTTTTCTATTCATTGGCCAACATCCAGTGAATATATTCACTTTTGTAATCTTCACATCATTTCAAGATACGTAACTGACCTATAAATTTGTCCACTTTTTAACTTTTACTTTGTTTCAAGATCTACAATTGATCCCCTGAGTTATCAAACTTGAACATCTCAAAAATTGGATTATTTTATTTTGTTCAGAATATCATGTTTCAAATTGTATCACCCTATACGTATATATGATTTTCACAATCTTTATGTTAACTTGTAATAATTTGCAAGAAAGATTTAATATGCAGTTCCTCACTGATTTTTATATGAATTTTCATTTATACGGAAGGAAATTTATTTACGCAGTCTTTTCTACCAATTTTTGTATTAGTTTCTAATTGTATGTTGTCAATGCAGATTACGAGAGAGGATTAAAGCTAGAGAGAAACGTGCGTTTGCACGTGCAAATAACTTAAGCCTAGGTCCATCCAGAAAGTTCTTAAAGAAAAGCACCATGGCTGAGAGTGCTTGTACGCTCACGGTAACCATCGACTTGTCATTCGATGAGTTAATGATCGATAAGGATATCGCTAAACTAACGAAACAGATACTAAGGTGCTATACTTTGAATAGAAGAGCTATGGCACCCATGCAATTTTCCCTCACCAGTTTTACTGGCAAATCACGAACCAGCATGGAGAAGCACAATGGATATAAGCATTGGGATGTATGTGATTGCATATAAGTCAACTTCCTCTCACTTTTAGTTTAAATTAAAATTGACATTATAAACATCTGTTCATTAAAGGAAGTTGTTAAAACAGGGTTAATTTTTTCTAAAAAGGTGTAAGAGTAAAAGAAACAGTATTTCTTACAGATTTTGTTCTCCTAGATACAATAAAATTATTAAAAAGTTCGTAGCATTTGGGGAACATTAAAATTTGATAAATACATCATGTTTGTACAAATTTGTTAATCATTGGACAAAAACTGACTCCTTTTTAACATCCTTCTATCAAATTATAAAATTGTCTATTAAATTTTATTGGATTACACTGGATTAAATTACATTGGATTACTATTCATTAAAGGACCTCGCACATTTTATAGTAAACTTTACCTGGTATAAACGTTTTTCATTTTAAACGCGGAAGTCTTTTTTTAAATTATTAAATTAACTGTTAAATTTTGTTAAATTATAGGTGAGCTTTCATACGGAGCCGTATAAAAACGTTTATCCTAAAGATAAGATCATATATCTCACAAGCGAATCAAATAACGTGATAGATTGTCTAGAACACGATTGCGTGTACGTTATAGGTGGTCTTGTTGATCACAATGCACATAAGGTGAGATTTTATTGGTTAATCATCCCTTTTTGAGAATTTCTATCAAAAGTCTAAATTGTAGGGCATGTGTCATAAAATGGCGAGAGAGGCGGGCGTCAAACACGGCCGATTGCCATTAGATAAATTCCTACAGATGAAAGCAAGAAAAGTGTTGACTATTGATCATGGTAAGCATTATGAATTATGATTTCTAAAGCTTTGTATTATTGTTGATTTCTGTGAGCATCTCCAATCTTATTTTGATAATGAATGAGAGAAGTTAAGAATCTAAATATACATTCTACTATATACTAATCAAATTTTAACAATAAGTGAGTCATGTATTGAAGTTTACATTTTCAAGAAATGATTAAACTTTTCCAGTTTTTGAAATACTGTTGAGAATCTCGGAGGGTGATACCTGGCAAAAAGCATTTTTAAAGGTGTTACCGGAGAGGAAGAACGCCCGTCCGATAATTTCTGTGCAATCCAAAGAGGACGAATCACAAGATTCGAAACCTGTTGATGTAAATAATGCCGTGCCGGCTGATATAGGTAATACAGTATCAGTTGATTCAAAGCCTGTTGATGTAAATAATACAATGCCGGTTGATGTAAATCATGTAAATAATGCAGAACCGGCTGATATAGATAATACAGTGCTAGTTGATTCAAAAGTTGCTGATGTAAATAACACAATGCCGGTTGATGTAAATAATGCAGTGTCGATTACTGTAAATAATGCATTGACGGTTATAAAAGACGTTAAGGAGAGCGATATCAAATCTTAATGCAAAGTAGATTCGAAAGAAATCTTAAATGAGAGTTCCTGCATAACGTAGAACCACGAATGCCGAATGGTGATTAGTATAAAAAACGCAAACAAAATATTTAAGAAGAATTCGCGACGTGCAAAAGGGGAAAATAAAAAAATTTTTAATATAAAAATATGTACACAATATTTATGCGTACATAAGAAATGAAAGTATAAAAGATTTAGATTTAATCAAATCAGATTTTTTACGTGTAAATATAATGTTAATATTAAAAAAAATTTTATTTTATTTTGACGTTAGTCCTTTTTGCTATTTCGCGAATACTGCAGAAATCAAAGAGAATCTATTTTATTGTATTATTTTTAAGGCCGTGTACATAATAACAACAGCGTATTTTTGTATCATCTGTCGTGTATTTTCAAATATATGAGATGCGTAGACAAGAGAAAGACGGCAAACATCAATTATAAACGGGCTACAAAAACGCGTCAGACTCGACAAACACTTCGTCGATGTTTCACGCGCATTTGTTTTTTTTTACACATCTCACAGACACATGTTACAATATAATACATTCTTACATCTAAAATGTTTGTTTGCGCTACCGGAGTGCAGCTTTTTATTGATCGTATTTAGGTACCTTTCACATCCTTACTGTCGTACAACGCCGTTGCAATTGCTTAATTGTAGCAATTAGGTCAAACTGACTCTTCAGGTTAAAACGTTTGTACACAGGTGCATATTTATTACATTGCAAATGTACATACGCCTATTTAATCATCCAGAGACATTAAATACAATACCAGTGGTATCATATTGTACATATATATGTATCTACAGTTGAGTTCCCTTATTCTTTAAGTCCCCGCCTTTCTACTCTTCGTTACCTTTCTTACAATGAGAGAGTAGCGCAAGACTAGATGCGGTAGAGAACAAAGGATACGGGCGTTCGACTGAATTCGTCTAAATAAATAAATTTTGCTTTCTTCGTATCTTCGACCAAGATCGATACTTTGTACGCATGGGAGTACAACGTTGCGATCGGGAGACAATTATGTAACTTAAATGATATATTATTTTCTTTATCTCAATTTACCATCACATTCGGCCGAGACGATTGTACTTCAAGCGAAGTTGCTATTGATTATCGTTGCTGGATTAAATTTTTTATCTCGTTCGCGGCCGATTACAGAGATCAGAGATGGTTTTCTTTCAGCTTTACATCGTAACTTAATGTCGCGCGCGATAATCCCTCCGTATTTTTTTGCACCTCGATCGAATTTCATCACATTTCTATCTTTGCTATTTCCTCCTTGTCGATTATCTCGAAGTCGCTATCGCCGTTGCTCTCATCGCTGCTGGCCGCGATTTTTTTCGCGTCGAAGACTTCCTCCTCGGAAGAGGACGAGGAACTCTTCTCGAAGTGACCGCTCTGAAACTTTATACCATCCTCTTCGGCGTCATTCTCGCCGACGCTGAGCTCCAGTTCCGATAGTTCGACACCGTCGGTGCTACCCTCTCCATGGGAGGGCATATTGAACGCTATCTCCTGGAGGCCTTCTATGAAATCCTCGTCGTAAAAAGAATCTGTAAGCAATGCGATGAGATGTAAAGATGCAGAGAAGATCGAATGGTAGATGGAGATTAAAAAGTTTATTCTGCTTTAAATTATCGAGCAAATAAAGCGATAAATATAAAAAAAATGCGGAATCGATAATCTCTCTAAAAGTTACATTGAAAATATTTAAAATTCAGTATCTGAATCGTGAGTTTTTTGGGATTTGTTGAATTTATACTCGAATGACAAGTAACTGTCGTCAAATACATACCATTCTGAGTGTCCGACTGCACACTCGTCGGTGTTGGTGAATGATCGCCCGTCTCCCCCACTCGGGTTAATACTAGTAAACTCGCCTCTGTTACCACAGGTAAAAACTCATCCTCGATTTCACTGTCACATTGCCAGTCTGAAAAATAAGTGAGATTAATCAAAAATGTTTTCTCATATAAACATTAATATGACGAAATATTATCGCATTAAATTGTGTGTAAAAAAAGTTTAATAAAGATTGGAATTTAATGTCGAAGTTCAATGAAGGAAAGATATAAGAGAACTGAAAATTTTTTTCAGTAAATTTAATTCTGCTTTCAAGACCGATAAATAATCGGCGCGCAGTTTGCTTAAATTGGAATTTGTAAAAATTTACAAGCTATTATTAGGTAATAAGATCCGCTTTGATCAAATATGATCTTCTGTTATTTGTGTTGAAATTTAAAATTCTCTTAGTTAAAGATTAATACGATTCCTTAATTACATCTCCCAATCAAGTATTCCAGTCAAAGTTACATAATTATACATTGTACATAATTATATTAATTATAAAGGATGAAGCGAATAAATTATTATGAAGATAAAGAAAGTGATGAAAAACCAAATATTTCGTCATTATAAAAAATATATAATTATAAAAATAAAAAATTCAAACAGCTATTTTTACACAAGAAATATAATACTACTATAATACTAATCTAAAAAATAGAAACTATCAATAATGATCCTTGGTATTTCTAGAGTCAATCTTTAAGATTTAAGATTCGAGTCTTCTGTTCTGTCAGGAAAATTTAGACGTTTTCGATTACCTTTGTGTGACAAGAGGTACTCCCGTGCTTTGTCAAACAGTTTTAGGGGAAATCGCAGTAGCATACATGCCAGTAACATGCCGTAGTACATGAAGCAAAGGGTTGACGTATGGACGTGGTCGAGGAACCATAGGAAGAAGGCCACGAGACAAAGGACGATGCAATGCTGAAAAATTGTAAACGGAATATTAAGATTAGAATCAGAAGATTAGAATTTTCGATCTTTCCAAGATTCCCTCCTTGTGAGAAGACAAAGAGAATTTTACCAATCCTGGTTTTTCGCTCCGCAACTTCTTCAAGGTCTGCCATACCCAATGAAGTCCACAGCACTCCCTTTGCTCCCTACATTTATAAAAGACCAAGATTACTATTATTTTTTTGGGGGGGGGGGGGGGGTTTTTTAAGAGCGACATTGTTACGAGCGAATACTGAAATTTCTTCGAGTTCTATTAATATGTAATTTTACTATTTATAAGCAAATGATTGATAAGTACAACCACATCGGAGATAATTTGACGATGGAAATATTATACGCGTTATTCAGCGAATTATCTCGACGTATTATTTTTCCATAAAATAAATATAAGTACAACGTAATGAACGTGCGATGCAATAATACGAGCAATAACTTTCTTTCGATAACTTACACTGCAGGGGCTAAGGTGTCCATGAATTTGTAAGCGATTATCAATTGGCTAATACAATACACGGCGACAAGTTTATATGGAAATAATGGTGACGTCATTCCCATCAAGGTATAGATCCTGCAACAAGCAGCACGTGTTACAATTAGGGTTATTTTGTACAAAATGCATAAGCATAGTAGGTACAGCATAAGACTTATTTGGATCAATGAGCAACCAGAAAGAGTCATGATACTAATTTATTTAATACAATGAGAAAATAAGGATAAGTCGATCGCATGTCGTTTTATTGGGAGGATCCCGTTTGCCTACAGTTCTGATTGTACACACCACTCATATCAACTGGTGCCTAGTAATTTTTTACTGTTTTGCCAATGAGATTATTTTATTTTTAAATTGGCCAATCAGCGATACATGTGCAATATGCGATGTGTGCAATCGGAGCCCTCCCGTAATAATCTGTTTATTTGAAAGAAATACAACTTGAACTAGTCAAAAACTAGTCAAAAACAGAAAAACAAAAACAGGTTTCAGTTCTTCTGACGTAATAAAACAATTAGATGAATTGTTTAAAATGTGTGTGTCCACTTTGCGCCATGATACATCCATCGAGCCTTCTTCTCAAAGATTGACGTACACGCTCAAAGATACCAGGTGTGTTACGTATTGCCTCGCATGAAGCAACTATTCAATTCCTCAAATCATTCTCATTCTCAATTGGGGTGGTATAAACCAATGATTTCAGATGTCCCCAAAGGAAATAATCCAAAGGATTTAAGTCTGGTGATCTAGGAGGCCAAGGTTGAGTTCCTGCTCAACCTATCCTGTATTTCGGAAACTAAGTCGTTTAAGACACATGTTTATAAGGACTTTTTTACTTGAAATAAACCAAAGAATCGCTCTGTTGAGTTTGGGAACATACTTAACTAACACCCTGTATATATATATATATATATATATCTACTTGTAGCTAAAATGACGGAGAATTTTGTTTGTTTCTTCTGATGAAAAAAATTCTCACTACACACACATCTTTATAGTATTTTTAATTTCTCTTATTTTAAATTTATGAATGTTTCTAAAAATATCTTAAACTTCTTTGGAAATTATAGAATAAGAAATCTTTGAATATTTCGGAATTTACATGTATAAAAAATTCTAAAAAAAATCCAGAATATCTCAGTATTGCTAACTCGTATAAAAAATTGAGAAGTTTTTTAAAATATTTATAAAATTGTTATAGAAATTTTGAAAAATTATATAAACAAATTGAAAATTTTTTACTGAGGTCCCTTTAAGTATTCTGTTTTAAATCGAAAGTAACGTTTCTCACAACAGAATTTAACAAAGATCTGATTAATGAATGTCATCTCGAAATCTTGCAAAGTTAAAAAATGTGAATATCGTGTGTAAAAAGATCTGAAACAATCCATTGATACATAAATTCTGTAAAAAGCTCGAAATTTAGCAGCCATTCTCGTACAATGGGCTCCTATACATCCATTTCTATTTTCTCTCGACTGAAAAAGGCATCAGGTTTCTCTGTATTTGTGAGACACAGATCTTCATTTATTTCTATATTATGTATTAAGTATGTACTATGCGTATGTATTCGTATTACGTATATAACTCATTACAAAATCATTTCTGTCAATCTTATCCAATAAACAATTCGCACACTAGCGCGGCAAAAATCACACGCGAAATAAAAGATTCGATTTATCATTTCGATGCGTAGCACGCGTCACCTTCACTTTATTTAAATCTATAAATTGCATCGCGAGAAAAACAAATCGTTTGTACGTGTCGTTTTTAATGATATTCATGTTCAGATCATTTTCCAATTTTTTGTAAACATTTATGCTTAACTGGACTAATCGCGCCTCATTGAAAATTGGATTGAGAAAAATCACTCGACCAAGAACCTACACTGAGAACAAAAATTATTTATTTGATTAAATTAACTCTTAGTACACACCTTAGTTTTGGGCACCCTTACTACACACGTTCGGTCATTCGTGTTCTGGATTAATTTTTATCACTTTTACGAGTATATAAAAATTATTAAACGATTTTTACGTATATTTTGACATCTTGTATTTGTACACCTGTATATATTCATAACAAATTGTAGATAAATTGTTACAACTAAATATAATTAACAAAATGAAAAAAATGGATCGTTTCATGGACACAAATGTAAAACTCTAAAAGAAAAATGTTTAAAGGAAAAATATGATTCAATATCTTAAAATTGACATTGCAAGCTATAAAAAAAAAATAGTTTAAGTGTCGACTGTCCAAAAAGTTTAGTTATTGAGTAACCTGAAAATGATGTTTTTTTAATATGCATGAATGGCTATAAATTGAAGATATATTGCATTTACATTTGAAACAATGCATTTTATTATTGCTATTGTGTTAAAAAAAACTTATAATTTATTAGGAAAATGTTCTTTATAACATTACAGACAACATAATATATAATATTATTATATGACAACATTTAGCACAAGGATGCTAAAAATTGTATTTATTAATATGTTGTTTTGGGGTTAAATTCTTTTTTTAATAATTCGCGAAATATTCCTGTAATACAACCGAGAATTAGTTGGATATAAAGAAAAAAATTTTTTTTAGTTACAAAAAAATGTACACTCCGTACGCACGTTGAGTCATTTGTGACCCAGAGGTGAACTTCGGAGTTATGCTAGTTAAAGAATACGAAGGAACTTGTTCTATTTCTTTGAAATAGTCTATTTCAAAGAAAAAAAATGCACAGGACACGAATGACCCAAAGGTATTAAAGGATTAATTTAATTTGTCTTCGTTACTTTCGTTGAAGAATGTTATATCCATACAGCACAAATTAAAACCGTAAAAAAACTTTATATTTTGCCGAGCGTAACTTTTTATATTATTCTTTTATCTAGTCGAACAAAAATTCGGAAAAAGATTAGGAAAATCACGCAGATCGCAAAAGCGATTTTTCATTCACGAGAGACAGTATATTATCTGGGAAGGAAGCGAGATAAAGTAAAAACGTCGTAAATAAAAAATGAGAACTTAAATCAAATATACGAGGTGTAAATTAAAACCGCAAATTGGATGGGAGACATAAAAGAAGACTTTAAAACGCAAGTATACGAAAGAAGTAAGCATATAGATACGAGAACTTCTAGCATAGTGAAGCGGAAGTGAAGCGTGCGTTAATACATGTACGTAAACAGCGGACGATGAAGTATGTCTTGTTGACGCCGATCGTCATTCCAAATAATACCGCGCATTTACGCGCTTTACTACGAATAATCGGACACGCGATTACGACACTGCACACTCGTCCGCGATTACGTGTGCGTGCGTGTGCGCTGGTGTGCGCACTGCGCGCGTATCGCGCCAAGTCCCCACGAGCGTCCGTTCGGAAAGGGGGCCTTGACCTAGAAAGCGAAGTTACTCTTGTGCACACGAAACGTAAAACAGCTGTAATGCCGCGCCGCGCGGCGTGACGTCACGGACGGCCGGAGGCGCGGCGCGGCGCACGTGAAGACGGGAAAGACGCAACGAAGACGATAACCGTCAACGTAATAACGTACAGCCGGCATAAAGACACGCCGACGACTAGAGGAGAGTGACGGCGAGTGCAGGCGAATGGGAGAACCGTGTCCTTTAAACGCAGAGCTCTTCAAATGGCAAGAAACGCTCTCTCGCGAACTGCGTAAGATTCTCCGAATCTTCCTCCGAGTTCCTTTTTTGTCCGACTAGATATACGCGGATAGCACGGATCGTTCCTGCGATATTGCGATAACACTGCAAATATTGCGGCAATGATGCTGCAAGTTTCTGTGCTGTATGAATAAAAAACAAAGCGAAAAGTTACCCTCGACAAAATATAATACATCCATAAAACACAGATTACTCCAGCAATATTGCAGTAACAGATGACTGCGTTCAGAAAAAAACAGCTTTGCAATGGTTGTAAAATACCTCGATATAATTGGTTTGTACATTTAGATACGTAAGGAAGGTAGGAATCAATCGTAATGAAGAATTTTAGAAAAGCTGCTTTCTCTGCTGAACGCAGCCAATGTTACAGCAACGTTTCTGTAAGCTTAACCCTTACCGTACCATCTACAATTTGGTGCCTCATCCGTACTCATCAAAAACGTTTTCACCTCTTCAAAATAATAAAAAAAATCTCTAAAAATTCACCAACATACTTTCAACTTTCTAGAATAAATATTGACTCTTTATTTTGAAAAATAATAAAATGTAGTATAATTTATAATTATCGAAAGACTCAAAAGAAACTTGCACGAATCGCTCGGTCACTAGTTACCCATATTAGTACGGTAAGGGTTAATTGTATGCTACAAGATATAGACAGTAGATTTCAATCTGATATTTCTGTACATGACTTCTAAGGTTGAAATTTAGTGTCCCTCCCCCCCCCCCCCCCCCCCCCCCATTGCTTTCTATTATATCTCGACCTTTTCATTTTGAGCACAGGAAGTGTGCTTTATTCATATTGAATCTTTTTTTTACCTGGATATACCAGTAACAAAGAAAACCTAGTTTAGGTATAAAAGACCCCTGAGCCACTTTAAAAGGAACGTATACGAAAAACTAGAGAAATACTATGTAATAGTAACGCATACTAATACCCGTATTCATAGTCAGACCTTATATTTAAGGCTTCCTTAAAATTATCTTTAGATGCTCAGTAACCAATAAAATAATTTGTAGAGCATCTGAAGATAAATTTAAGGAAATCTTAAATATAACAGGCATTCAATAAGCCACTAGTCATTAATTAGAAGTTAGAAGGTGGAAAACTGATCAGTCACAGTCGTCAATTTTTAGCTTCTGACTTCTGATTTATGATTAATGGCTTCTTGTAAAAGACCCATAGGACCTGACTATGAAATACGGGCAAAAGTATTTCCTTAGTCTTTCGTACAACTCCATTTCAAGAGTAGAGGTCCAGCGGAAGCAATGATGCGTTGGAAAACAAAGACTAAGAGACATTCTACGATAAGCCATTAGTCAAATCAGAAGTTAGAAGTCTAGAAATTGATCAATTACAGCCGTTAATTTTTAGCTTCTGACTTCTAATTTATGATGACCAACGTCACTTTATCGTAGAAGGCCCGTTACAAGAGAGATCTTCTTTGACGTGAACGTCGCGAGCGAGCGAAACTGTCGGAGCCGCCAGCAGATGAAGAACGAGTCGACGAGCGCGGGAGTGCTCGAAAGAACGTTCCTTTGTCTGCTTTTTACAACGCAGGTCGAAGGAAACGGCTTTGGAACAACGGAAAGAACAACGCACGCGCACGTGCGTGCGCGCGCGCACATCAACACCGGACTGGACCGACTCAACCGACTGGCGACTCACCAGAATATCGCGATGAGCACGATGAACAGGTAGAGGTTGACGAAGAAGGCGCTGTTCTCCCAGAGCAGCGTCTTCTCGCCGGCGGCGATGTACCGGCACACCTCGCTCTTGCACCCCACGGATGGTGGATCGGTGCGGCCGGCCGACGACGCGGACGTTTCCTGGGACAGCGGCGACGACGACGCCGCTGCGTTGCCGTCGACGTTCTCGCGCTCGATTCCCATCGCTCGCCGATACATCCAGCACCACACGTCCAAGAAAATCCACTCCATGACACGTTCCATGACCCGGCGACCGGCCAGGACGCGATCCCACGCCCAGAGTCGCTCCATCATCTCCGGATCGGGGTGCATCATCGGATCGACGTCGTCGTCGTAGTAGTATCAGTCGTCGGCGGCGTCGACGGCGCTCCACGACGTCCAGCGTGCACGAGCGCGCCTTCTCTCTCTCTCTCTCTGTCACCTAATAGTCTCCTTGGCGGCGCGGGCGGTGCGTTTCCCGGTGCGGGCGTCTCTCCTCCGCCGATTCGCTTCGTCCTACACGGCTCCTACTCGCCGTGCATGGCACAGATACTCCCCCGCTACCGTCCGCGCTCGAAAGACGTTCGTGGACGACTGCCGTGCGCCACGGAGGGGTATATTAATAGCGCGCGTGACAGCCTCTAGGGTGAGTGCGACGCGACGCGACGCGACGACGTGCGCCCCGCCGAGAGTCTTCCTCTCAGCTGCTGCTGCTGCTGCTGCTGCCGCCGTCTAGAGCGGGGGGAAGGGGAAAGGATAGAGCGTAGAAGCGAGACGGAACGCGTAGGATCGAATCGCAAGACGGAGAAAAACGGTGCCGCTCAGCTACAGCTGTTGGCCGAGGAGCAACACACCCCTTCGCCCTGATGGGCCACCCCTGTCCACCTATACGTCACTATTGTCACTCGACAATGTTGTCTCCTCTCTCTCTCTCTCTCTCTCCCTCTAGTTGCCTTTTAATAGGCTGTGTACCTGCCCCAGTACGCGCGCACGCAATTCGATCTCTTTGTCGCCGCGCACTTCGTCGTTTCTCGGGGGATGAAGTCACGTTCTCCGTTGATGTCGACGATGTTCGATGACGATCGCAGTGATGATGATGATGACTGGGCAGATCAACCCGAGGCCGACACGGATCTTTTGCGTGGAGTCTGCGAAATTATGCGCTTTATGCGCCGTTTTGCACGACCCGACGATGACGCGCGCGCGCGATGGAGGCCGACTGACGTATACGCTCTACGAGTCTAGTATTATTTCGTTCATATATATGTGTATATACGTCGCGCTCTCTCCAGCGCCTGATCTCAGCACTCCCACTCTCTCTCTCCCTTTCTCTCTCTCTCTCTCTCTCTCTCTCTCTCCCTCTCACTCTATCTCTCTCTCTCACTCTTTTTTTCTCGCTCCTGTCCCCGCTCTGCATGCAGGCACAACACGTGACAGTCGCACGCGAGTCGCGCTTATCACGATCGCGTGATTTTGCGTACGAAAAGGAGAAAGAATCTCGTCGATAGGATCTCGGAAAATATCTTGGGAAAAGATCGATGTGAAATCCTCCCTTCTCCTTTCCTTTTGTGCGTACTTATATGGACTGGGAAGAGAGGGGCAGACATTTGAAGTGGGTACTTTACCCAGACAGCACACAATATTAAAAAAATATTTATTATATATGGCTTATTTTAAATATTTTGTAAATATTTTTGTATAAATATTTTGTAAATCATAAATAATTTATTATAAATATTATGAAATATTTATTGTAAATATCTTGTTGTAAATGCTATGGAAATACTTAAAAAGACAATTATAATTCAAATAAAAGATACTTAGAACTATTTATTTATACTTATTATAAATATTACATTAAATATTTAGCTTTTTAATAATATTTCGAATAAAGTTTTATGTAAAATACGTATAAAATTTATATAACATTTCAAAAAAGGAGTAATAAATATTTATTATAAATATTCTGTGTTGTCTGGGTGATTTAAAATATAATATTAATTTGCAATACAAGTGTATTTTGTATTTAAAATCAAAAGATTGAAAGTTTTTATATCTATTTTGTAATTTAAATAATAAGATTGATTGTCAATCTCTTAGTATTTAAAATACAAAATACTTTTATATGCTCCCATAAAATACAAAATGCAATTGTCTCGCAAATACTCTTTTTCAAATGAAAGTATTTTAAACAGCTCTGCATTTATAAAGTCATTAGAAGGTCTATTCGCGTGTTGCTCAAGATCCTCACAAATTTGTACTTATAAAACGAAATAAATATATATTTGTGCGAGAGAGAGGGAAGGTGAAGATTCTGAGTGTAAAAATTGCAATGTCAGAACAAATCTAATATCATAAATTTTTTCATCGTGTAAGATTAATCCTTGATTTCATATAAATGTAAGATTAATTTTAATCTCGGTTCAATTTATTCCTGGTTTATGCTTCGGTCTTAATCTTAGTCTTAGAATTAGTCCTAACTTAATCTTAAGGACTATAGTTAAAAGATAGAAACTGTCTTGGGACTAAGATTAAGACTACGATTAAGACTGAGGAAGCATAAACGATCTTATGGCATTCTATGTTGCCAATTTTTAAGACTAAGATTAAGACGGAAGTATAAACCAGCCATTACTCTTTATCTTTTTCTAAATCTAAGAATTAGAAGAAGATAAAGAATAAATTGAACCGGGATTAACATTAATTTTACATTTATGATAACTTTAATCTCAGTTTAACTTATTGTTTATCTTCTAATTCTTATTTATGTTTCGGTCAACTTTGATTTCAATTTAACTTACTCTCTTCATCTTTTTTTAATTCTATAAAAATAGGAAAAAAATGAAGAGTTTTCTTTATTCGATTTTTTTGCTATTAGTCTCTTACGTGAACTTATGCACATATCGAAACACTTCTCTCATCTTCACGCTTTGACAAGTGCCTAAATTCACGTGGTAGGCATAATAGCTTCAAGTGTGCGCGCGCGTCATATTTATTTTTCTCCGATGTCGAAAACAAATCTCTCGTGCATAAGAGAAATATGTATATTAGACTGCCAAGAAAAAAAAATTTTTTTTTTAATCGGCCACTTAACTTAAAAGCTTCCATTTCATGCTAAAAGAACACTCTTCAATTTTTATTTAAAAATATTAAGATTTAGAGGTCGCTAGTGAACAATCTTTAAATCAAAGTTTCGATTTTCCTTAATAGATGTTTGATTTGATGCAAAAATGACTTAATCCGGATTTCAAATGTGGTACTGTATGTTAAGAAATATAGCCCAATTAATGTGAAAAAATGACCAAATTTCGAGTTCAAGGTCGATTTTAGCAAGGTCCCAAGCGTGTGGCCGTGATCGTCTAGTGGTTAGGATCCTCTAAATCTTAATATTTTTTTATAAAAATTTAGGAGTGTTCTTTTGGCATGAAATGGAAGCTTTTGATTTAAGTGGCTGATTTAAAAAAAATTTTTTTTTCTTAGCAGTCTAATATATATGTATTTAATAAAATCTATATAAAATAATTTCTCTCTTGTCTCTTCTCCCAAACAACAAACACAGCTGCATAACCCAAACAGCACAGAATATTTATGATAAAATATTTATTATTATTTACTTTTTGTGAAGTGTTATATAAATATTTTATACATATTTTATATAAAACTTTATTCGAAATATTATTAAAAGATAGATTAAGTATTTAATGTAATATTTATGATAAATATAAATAAATATTTCATAATAATGTTTATAATCTATACAATCTAAAACCACAAAGATATTTACAACATATTTAAAATAAGCCTTATAAATATTTATAAATATTTTGTAAATATTTTATAAATATTGTGTGCTGTCTGGGAAATATTTATTTACTTTTTTTATGATCCAAACACAAATTTATGAAGCAAACACAAATATAATTGCTATGTAACATATATATAAATTAATATACATTATTTACATCTACGATATATGTAGCATTATATTCATGGTTTGCTGGGAACCATTTTTATCAAACTAGATAAACTTTAATCTCGGTTTAATTGATTGTAATTGCTTTTTTCCACTTCTTAGAACAAGAAAAAAATAAAAAATGAGTACAATTGAGATTAATATGTTAATCTACATTGACAGGAATGAATTACATAAGTCGATTATCTTTTTCAGTAGTCTTGATATGTTTAATCATTCTCAGTTATCATTATTACTTAATTCCCAAGAGGTACACTGTTATGTTTCTTCATTAATGACACATATGTACACCTGTCGGTATGTTACAAATTGAGTGAACTAGTTGGGGAGAAAGAAGGTAAGTTTTAAAATATCGTTAAACCGGTTTCCTGTCCCTTTCATATCCGCGACACGTTAGTCCAGTTAAAATATTCCAACAGCTGCGACAGGTTTTCCGACACGTTTCCTTAAACGAGCGCATTCGTTGATTTAATGCTAAATATTCGAATTAATTAATCGCATGTAGTTGAAGCCATGATGTAAGAAGACAAGGTGTATCGTTCCTGAGGATGCGCGGTAGGAGAATGAATTTGGGGCCAAAATTTGATTGGCTGTTCCAATATGCCAGCGCTATTATACGCATATAGGAAAGTGCATAGAGGCCAAAGTTTAATTGGTTGTTTCCGGTATTGCTATCGCTATTATGCGCAATGGGACACCTTTATATATTCTTACACCATGGTTGAAGCTACATTGAAATCGTATATGCGCGTATTGGAATAATAAGAGAGAGATATGTCGACCAATCGCGAGTCGAGAAGCGACGAGTGCCGCGCTACGCCATTGAAGTCTCGCGTATCGTGCACGCGATTGGTCAATTACTCTCCGTACGCTTTAACTTTAAAAGAGACAGTGGAGTAGGTCAGTTTTCCCTCGCTACTCTTTATAAAGACTTGTCCCCTTCCTCTTTCTGACGTCATGAGCTTCTTTTTTCTCTTCTTCGTTATCTTATTCTTTCTCCGATCTTATGGTATTTTATTCTGGCAGGGACGAAAATTCGCAAAGGAAGAATAAATAAGACGGTATAAGGTGTGTATAATATTGGGACGTAAAAAAAAAGAAGACGTCCCAATTCTGGATAATTTTTCTCTATTTCTCCTCGAGCTTAAAAGCCTCGATTCTAATTTCCCAGTGAGAAATGACAATGGAATCGACATCGATTCGATTTGGCCCTAGCTTATTTCTCCTAAATAAATTCCTGGCTACGCTCATGGATCTAACCGGGTCCAACCATTAATTTACACGATCTCCCGCACCGATGCTTACGAAATTCCTGTTAACTTTAATTATACAAAAAGAAATAGAGGTGCGTACTTTCACTCGTTATGCCAAAACATCTCATCCGCAGCTTATCGTTCGCTTTAACGAAGAACGCAGTACACAGCTATTGAAGTAAACACAGGATGAGTCACCGACTATGCGCGTCATTATATTAAACATACATCTCTCTATCAGATAAACAAATTTGTTGAGATAATGAAATATATGACGCAGTTCAGATTTTTTAAATATTTTCGATATATCTCAAAATGCATCTTGTGTGTTCATAAATATTTAATGTACCTTAATTATTCACAAATACTCTACTCGATTTTTTAAATTTCTTTTTCGGAATTAATTAATTCTGAATTAATTAATTATTGAGGTAGCGATGTAAAGATGAATTCCTATAAACATAAAAAAATAGAAGGTAATTTATTTATTTTCAAAACGCGTTTATTTCTGTTATTTCTAAAGATATGCGACACCTATGAAAAAGATTTCCAAATTCAATTCTATTCTATCATAAAATAAGATCAATGTATAAGGACAATCCTATTTATTATTTTAACAGAGGAATATTTTACTTTTAAATAGAAAATTCTTAAATTTAGAATAAATAATAATCTTGAATATCGATTTCAAACCAAATTGGTGTCAGCACAAAGCTTACAATATTATCGTAATGTTTGCAATATATACAGGGTGTCCCGAAATTCGCGAATCAAAATACTACAGCAAGGAAGTATTTAAAAAATTGAGTAAAAAGTTATGTATACATTTTTATTTCACGCAATAGTTTTTTCAGATATAAGAGGTTAAATGTAGCTAATTACAAAAATTGTACGTTTAGACAGTCACCTGTCCAATCGCGCGTACAGTAGTATTAGTTCAGCGCATACTTCAGCGTTTAAACGCAGTCCATAATTGGCTATACTTAAACACTTATTTTTTCACAAATTATCGCTTAAAATAAAAATTTACAAATAACTTTTTACTTAAATTTAAAAAAAAAAAATTTTTTATTGTATTTTAATTTGCAAATTTCGGAACATATATATATTCTGTATATCGCTGAAATGATCTGTGCTGTATAGATTGCGTTATAACATCAGATAAAGATTTATCACATAAACGTAAAAATATATATAAACTTAAATTTAACAATAATAAAAGGTAAAAAGAGCTGAGTCTTAAATCTACTTAAATTTATTATATTTGTTACTCTTGTTTTAATGCAATAAATTGATCTTATCAATTATTAATTCAAGAGAGGAATTAATTATTAATTCAAAAGAATAATTGATCTGTTGTTAATATTATTATTTCTGTATACTGCATAAGGTTGCGATAAGATTAATACGTCAAGGATATTTTTTATTTCGTTATCAGAAATTTTTTCTGATAACAAAACAAAAAGTACTCTTAACGTGTTAGGAGGGGGACAGCTTATGGGTAGACGAAGAATTTGTAGATACAAATAATACTATTCTAATCTATTGGATAATACTATTCTAATCTATTGGACCTTGACGTTTTAATCAAGGTAATACACACAGTAGCACTAATTGATAAGAGAAATATTTCCGTCTAGAATGGAAATGTTTTTGGAGAATTAAGTTATAATTTTAGAGATGAGATACTTATTCTTCTCCTCACATGATAAACGACTTTTTATTATGAAAATAAACAGAAAATAGATAATATAACACAGAGAATTTTGAAATCAATTTTGATCATTAAATTCGAGATTTTATCGCCTGCAAATACATTGCAGTGTTTTCTCCTTCAAATCGGAGCATGCAATGCTCCGTTTCGGCACACAACAAATACAAACAGGCAACTGTAGTGTGGAATCATGGAGCATTTTGCACCAAACAAAATTTAGCTTAATGTGGAAATCCACACCAAAGGAATTTAAGAATTGGATTAAAAACTGTGAACTTTTCCAAATGTACGCGAATACCGACATTTGTGATGACAGTACAACTGCGTGCATAGCAGAGATTCAACTTTTAGCCACGTGGATTCAACTTTTAGCATAGATTTAACTTTTATACTGTCCGTATACCGTTATCTGCGAGGGGTAACCACTTAATGTAATCGTGGGACAGAGTCTTCGAAATCATTATAAAATTCATATGAAATCTCTATGTATAATCCGATAATTACATATGCAACCATGAGAAATCATTGTATAATATTAAATAAATTCGTATATTTTACAAATGATTTGATATGTAGTGAAAAAAATTATTTATAATCAGATGAAATCGTATGATGTCATGTAATCTGTGGGACAATATTTCAGCTAGTGGTTACCCCCTCGGTTATCTGTAAGAATTGACTAATTACAGTCGAGCATTCCTCTCTTGCAATTGAATGAGAGAGGAACACTCGAATATGATTAATCAATTCTTACAAACTATCATGTACGGTTATGGCTAATATAAATGATCCCTTACTGAATGTTAGACAGATTGTCGTAATTCGCAATTGTAAAAAAGGGAATAGCACAAAATAAATAAAAAATCGACATTTTGTACTAATAAAAGGAACAGGGAACACAAAAATACACCCTGCGCGAGCGTATTCCAAAATATATGATTTCTGATAAGTTGAAATTCTTATTCTCTGTTCTCTGTTTCCTGTTCCTTTTATTGTGTGGAGCCCCTAAGGTCGGAATCAGACTATAGCGGGGAGGAGGTGATCCTGATTGACCACGTCTCGATTGGACACCACCAATCACAGCGACCGGTGCTTAGGAGCTTTGTAGTCTCAAGCGCTGTGAGTGGCTCCCCCC